CCTCCCAACCCATCCCCCCTCCGCCGGGCACCGGCACTACTGTACAAGCGCACACACACCTACACACGCACGCGATGTAAAGGGAGGGGAGGGGACCAGCTTGTAATTTTTTCTTGTTTGCACCCATTTTTAGACACGGTAAAATGCGGTACTTCTTTACTTTGCAACACTGGTAATACAACGGTGCTAAGTCGTGCCTTTCCTGGAGCACTAAACACATTCTTTGTTCAGTGCCTTTCAAAGGCAGGGCACTAAACAGCCCAAAATGTGCTAAAAATTAGTGCCTCTGGCAGTTTCAGTGTCACTCAACGCTTAGTGCCTTTTAACGGTAGGAGTTAGCCTCTTTGTTTTTCCAGTGAAGTGAAGTTCCCAAAAGCACTGATGCCTGAACTTGCGCGCCCGTACCCCTATAGACAGTAGTAACAGCGATTGTTTTGCAGCATTGTCGTCTTTCCTTTGCAACTAACCCTGTGCAACGTGCGGGCTACGGGAACGAACATCTTGCAGTCATAAACAATATTTTTCCGGTTGTGTTTCGTTCTTCAACAGCAGTCAGTCGCATCGTGTCGGCTCGCACCTCGCGCAGAAATACCAAAGTTCGGGTTTGTCGACTTGGCGTGTTCTTAGCTTTGCATTTGCAGTGTAGGAAAGGGACCTCGATTCGGGTGGGCCTGAGCCTGTCCGGGTCGGGCCGGCCGGCAGGCTGCGGGGACTCGTCCTGCATTCCTTAACCAGAAACATAACAGGATTACTATCCCTCCTTGATTAGGCCGCCCCGTTGTCACCGGGGGATTCCTCCCACCTTCCTCTCTACCACCCCCTCTTTGCAGTCCTCATCCCCCTCCCCCCGGGTAGGGGATGGGGGATCTTGGCTAAAGTTTAGGTATTAATTATTCAGCAAACCCAACCTTTTGCTATAGTTGATATTTTTTTCCCCTTCCCTTTCGTTTCGATTGGCTTTATGATCGAGTTTCTCCCCCCGGGGTGGCGTCGTGCGCATGACACTTGGCGGTGGTGGTGGGGCTCTGGCGCCCATAAAACACTTGACTGATTGAGCAGGTGCCGAGTTTTATTCCTCTAAGTCCCGTTAAGTAGCCTGGCCTAAGGTCCCTAACGACGCTACGCTGTTAAACAGTCTCTCTCCCCTACCAGCCACCCCCTCCGTCACCGCACACTTTCCGTTCTTTATTCCCCTCCCCTTGCCTCCCGCACCACTCCTCCCCCCTCCCCTCTTTTATTACCTGACGCAGGATGACACTCTGCGAATGGCAGTTTCCAGCTCCTCTCCCAGTGCGGTCGCCGCTCGCCGTTATTTTTAAACAAATCCGTTTTTCTTCCCCCTTTCGCTAAATCTGTTGGAAAGCAATATGTTGTTTGTTGTTCCTTTTCTAGATAGCTGGCTGATGAACCGCGCGCACTGTCTCTCAGTTATACAGCCACCTGCTGCGGGTATATTTTGCACTGTTCAAATCCCAGTAGTCACAGCCGCCGGTTTTTTGTGTTCTTTAATTCCCCCGCTCCTCACTGGACAGATGTGATTTTAT